GGTGGTACGGCCCTAGAGCCCCTGCCCCTGCGGTTTTTTGCAGCCGGTATGGCCCCCACCCCTTACCACCTGCAGGGGAATGGTTCAGTGTTTCCCTGCTGGTGATATTGTCCTCCCCCCCCTTGTCTGCAGTTGGTAGGGCCTCAACCCCTTTCATCTCTTCAGGTGGTATGGCCCAACTATCCCTCCCTTCTCCCTGTAGGTTGTATGGCCACAATCCCCCATTCCCCTTCTGCAAGGTGGTACGGCCCCAATTCCCCCCATTCACCCTGCTGCAAGGTGGTATGGCCCAACCACCCCCCTTCTCTGCACATGGTATAGCCCCAATCGCCCCTCCCTTTTCCCCCCTTCTGCAGGTAGTACTGTCCAACTCCCCCTCCTCTTTGTACATGGTACTGCCCACATTTTCATTTTCCCCCCCCCCCCCAAATTTTCCTTTTCCCCCCCCCCCCGCTGTTGGTATTGTCCAATCCTCCATTTTTGCCCCTCTTCCAGGTGGTATGGCCCAAGAGCCCCCCCTTTCTTTCTGCAGATGGTATTTCCCTAACACTCCCTTTGCAGATGGTATGGACCTATTCCTCCCTCCCCCATTTTCTCTGCAAGTGGTACTGCCCTGTTCCCCCTTTTGCTGGTGGTACTACCCAATGTCTTCCCCCCTCCACTTGGGTGAGACCATTAAGGGAATTTGGGGTGGAGAGTTAGGACTGGTCCATTGCTCTGCCCCATGGGGGGAGGCCAGGCCTAGGTGAAACCATTAGTGGGGGAAAGTCATCGGATCGTCCATTTCTCCGGCCCCATGGGGGCAGTCCAGAATGGGGTGAGACCGTTGGAGAAAATGGGGAGAACTGGGACTGACCCATTTTCCATGGGTGGGGGGGTCAGAGGCTGAGGCTGGAGTGGGGTGTGGACCCATTTCCTATCATTGGGGGTGGGGCTGATCCATTACTGGGGGAGGGGTGGAACTCACCCCTGTGTAGTAGGGGATTAGGACTTGTCCATTTCTCATCTTGGAGGGGGTTTCTGGGGGCCTCAGGGTTGGGACTGATCCATTTGTCATGGTGCGGGGGGTTGGACTGATCCATTTCTCATGGAGAGTTGGGTTCTATCCATTTTTATAATGGCAGTGGTGGGGTAGGGGCTTGGGACTGATTCAGTTCGTAGTGGAGTAGGGTTTCATCCATTTGTCATGAAGGGGGGGTTGGACTGAACTATTTCTCATGCAGGGAATTGGGATCCACACATTTTGCATGGGGGGGTGGGATCCATCCACTATTATGCTGGGGGGCAGGGCTTGGGACTGATCCATTCATTTCTCAGGGCAGTGGCTCATCCTTTTGTCATGATGGAGGGGGATTTAGATGGATCCATTTCTCATGGGGGCGGGTTGGGGACCCACCCATTTTTATGGTGCGGGGGTTGGGACTGATCCATTTTTAATGGAGAGGTTTGGCACCCATCCATTTGTCAGATGGAGGGAGGCTTGGACTGATCTATTTCTTGGGGGGTGGGGGGGAGTTGGGATCCATCCATTTTTATGGTGGGGGGGCGCTTGGGACTGATCCATTTCTCAGCAGGGAGTTGGGACCCATCCATTTGTCATGATGGGGGGGTTTGGACGGATCCATTTCTCATAGCACGTGGGGGGAAGTTGCCAGACTGCTCCATCTCCCCTCTCCAGCGGGGGCGGGGTCCCAGTCCTGATCCTGATCTCTGTCCCGGCAGGAAGGAGCTCCCCCTGTGCCGCAAGTTGCTGCTGGACCACTCAGGCCTGGTGCTGCTGACTGAGGCCCTGGCCCGGCCCCCGCCAGCCCCCTTTGCCCTTTACGCCGCCGATGCCTTGGCCCTGCTCTTGGGCTCCCCCCATGGCCCTGGCAAGCACTCACCCCCACCCACTGGGCCCACCCTGGCCTGTCCCTATGCCCACATGGTGGCATCGGAGGCGGCCGACCTGCGGTTCCTCCTGGACTGTGGTGCCCAGGTCCCAGCCTCACGCCAGGCGCTAGACACGGCGTCTGACGTCTTCCGCGCTATGCTGGGGGGGGGCTTTGCTGAGGCCCGGCTGGCCCTGATCCCCCTCCGGGGGGTGGCCCCGGCTGCCTTCCTGCCCCTGCTGCATCACCTGCACGGCTGCCGTGGCTGCCAGGCCCTGGCGGGGCCCTTCGGGATCCCACTCGGCACCCGGGTGCTGGAGGTGGCCGGGCAGTTCCTGGCCCCGGGGCTGGTGGAGGAGGTGGAGGCTGCCTTGAGCGCCCAGTACCTGGCCGGGGCCGACCCCCGGGGCCCGGCCCAGCTCTACAGCCTGGCTGAGCGGCTGGGCCGCCTGGGGCTGCAGCGCGCTTGTGTGCGCCACGTGTTGTGCGGGTGCTACCCGGGGCCATGCCAGCGGGCCGATGCGCTGGTCCACCTGGCCCGGGCGGCTGGGGATGAGCGGGCGCTGGCCGGGCATCTGCTGGCCGTGGCTAATGAGGCAGCTTGGGGGACCCAGGAGTCCACGCCTTGAGCCCCAGCCCCCTTTTGTGGACTTAGAGAGGACCCAGGAGTCCAAGCTCTGCTCTCTCCATTTACTTCTGGACTGGTAGGGGACCCAGGCGTCCGGGCTCTGTCCCTGTTTGGTCACTTATGGACAAGAGGACCCAGGAGGCCAGGCGTTGAGCCACAGCCCCCCGTTATGCACTTAGAGAGGACCCAGGAGTCCGGGCTGTGCCCCGCCCCCATTTACTTTGGACTTACATAGGATCCAGGCCTTCAGCCCCAGGTCCCATTAGGGATTTCTAGGGGACCCAGGGGTCCGGGTGCTGACCTCCCCCCCAAACACTTTATGGACTTACAGAGGACCCAGGAGTCTGGGACCTATCTCCCTCCCCTCCCCCTTCTGGGGTGGGGTTGCATGTGGGGGGGGATGCCTGGGTGCTCTGTTTTGCTGTGTGTAGGCAGCCCCCCGCCGT